ATCTGTGAAATGGGAATGATAAAAATATCTAAGTGGGTTCCCCAGAGGATTGAATTAGGTGATGTTTACAAAAGTGTTATAAACATGCTTATAATTTTTTAAAATATATTTTATTATTAGTAGTAAATGAAAGGCATGGTGATTGCCTTCTGCAGAGTGATTCTAGAAATAGCAAATGGGATCTAAATCAGAGGTCAGCAAGCCATAACCCATTGGCTAATTTTGGTGGCTCTCTGTTTTTATTTTCTTATATTCTTTTTTTTAAATTTAAATTCATTTAGCCAATATGTAGTACATCATTAGTTTTCAGTGTAGTGTTCAATTACTCATTAGTTGCATATAACGCCCGGTGCTCTTACATTACGTGCCCTCCTTAATGCCCAACACCCAGTTGATAAAGTATTTTTTTTAAAGATTTATTTATTTACTTATTTGAGAGAGAGAATGAGAGAGAGAGAGAGAGAGAGAGCACATGAGAGGGGGGAGGATCAGAGGGAGAGGCAGACTCCCTGCTGAGCAGGGAGCCCGATGCGGGACTCGATCCTGGCACTCCAGGATCATGACCTGAGCCGAAGGCAGTCGCTTAACCAACTGAGCCACCCAGGCGCCCCCCAGTTAATAAAGTATTTTAAATAAAGTATTATTGGAACTCAGCCACATCCATTCCTTCATGCACTGTCTTTTGCTGCTTTCCTTCTCTAACAGTAGAGTAGTTGCAACAGAGACCTGGCCCACAAAGCACAGATAGTTATAAAGAGTTTGCTGACCTCTGGTCTAAATGATCAGCATATTCTGCTTGTGCCCACTCCTCTAGTGACTTAAAACCATATTGAAATCTTGCTGTGCCCAGTCTGGTTTTCTCCTTTGACCTCCAGATAAAATCCAGCAGCCTTCTGGCATCTCCACTTGGGTGTGTCTCATGGGCATCTCAAGTACAACTCAAGTTCAAAGCAAACCCGCCCTCTTTCTGCTCACGCATGCCATCCTGTGTTCTTTAGCACAGTGACTGGGCACCCCCTAGATTCCCAAATCAGGAATGTGGGGCTCATCCTAGGTTATGTCCTCATCCTCACTTCCCATTTCCCTTCAGGCTTAACCTTCTCCTGATTTCATTTTTAAATATTTCTGGGCACCAAGCCCACCTCTCCAACCTGGCTGACCTGGCCCGTGGCCGGGCCCCTCCCATCTCCTGACTGCATGACTCCCAACACCTTGGGTTGGACTTGCCTCTGAGCGCTATGTCCATGAGACAGACAGATTATTTTCTTTTTTTTTTCTTTTTTTTGGTGTGGTTCCCTGGTTTAAGGCTCTGCTGCTTCATTCTATTTAAAACCGGGATAGTAACAATAATCCCAAACACATGTATTCTGCTTTCAGAGCTTACAAAGCACTTTCATATTCATGATTTCTGATTTCTGGAACAGCCTGGGGAGGGACCTGTTATAATTAATTATCCATATGTATCCATGGGAGGGACCAGGGTATCAAGGGGTTACGTGCTTGCCTAAGGTCATCCGCTTTAAAACCATAATCCGGACCTAAGTCCCCGACTCCGTGCATTTTTCTTTCTTTTTAAGAAGATTTTGTTTTTGTTTTTGTAGATTCTTCCTCCTAAAGCATCTGAAGTTCAGCTTTCTTTTCCCTCAAACACTAGAAATCCATCAGGTAATATTTTATATGTCTTGGGTTCCCACTACGAAGATCGGTATTAAAAACATGACAGCGACTTATTATTGATGGCAATATCTATCGTTACTAAGGGAGACAGACCAAACAATTCCCCATTGTTATAGATGCTACTTTGACTTGACAGCTGGGCGAGTCTGATAGGCAGTTTATTTACTTAGCCATTTAACCAAATAAATGTTTTCATTTTTCTTTCATCTCCTCAAAAGCTAACATTTCGCCCTTAAAATTGCTCCAGCAACACATCAGTGAAGTATAAATTACCTGCCATTCCCACACCAGCCATTACAATATTATTTTGGTTCTTTTTTTTCTGGCCCTGTTGACCCAGTCTTTCAAAGACACGTGATTCTCCCAGACCGGGGGGGGGCAGGGGGAGAAAACGAAATAATTCCCTTTATTGCTAAAACAGAAACACTGTTTGAGATTGGTCCTGAAGCTTCCACCTGTGAGGACTGAGTCCATTTGTTCCCTCTTATTATGGTGCAAGACGGCTTTCACTTATCAACAGATGTCCCCCTACCTCCTAAGAATTGTGCCGGTATTTCTAATGAAAAGCAGCTGGAGATAAAATGCAAGGGTGATAAGAAGGACGAGACTCCTGCCTTCCAACTGTATGAAGACAGAGGGGAAAAGAGAGCCACGGATGTGGCTTTCCCTGCATGGTATCCCTTCTTCAAATGTCTGGAAAGGCACGAAGAAATTGCAGTCAGTAGATTTCTAGTTGGGTGGATGAGTGAATGTGACAGAGGCGGAAGGGTCAAATGCGGCTTGGGTTGCTAGTGATGGAAGGGCCCAGGAAAGCTCACTTGGACTTCCCTTGCAGGGGAGGTCTTTGGGGATATGTCTGCAAGGCTGGCATCAGCCTGTTGGCCTGGGATTCTTGATAGGCAATTGTGATGTTGCCAAGCTTAGTGTTCAAAGGGAGAAAACTGTTTCATTGCAGATTACAGTCCGGCCCTTTCGGTGGGGGGAGCCATAGATTATGACTTATAAGTCAATATGAGACTGCTCATTTTTTAGAACGGAGAGGTGGCCTGTGAGACCCTCACAGAGGTCATTCTGATTATGGGACTGGGCAAGCCAGAGAGCTAAGATACTAAATTTTTCTTTTCCTACTTTTTTTCCCTCCAAATCTGTTTTGAGGCATATTGAAAATTAATTATCTGACGATAGGAGGTACATAGCAAAACCTCCCAGCCAATGGCCTGGGTCCTTATGGTATAATTTATTCATTATCAAGGCAAGATGTATAAAATCTAAGGTACTGGGGAACATTTATTGAGCACGTATGATGATGATGGTCATGCTGGTGGTGATGACAGCTACCATCTATTGGGTGCTTTCTATGTGTCAGATGCTGTGCTAACCTCGTTTCGTCCAAACAACATCCCTTTGAGGAGGACACTGTTTTTATCCTTATTTTCAAAAATGAGATAGCGAGTTATTATGAAATCTCATTAGGGTCACAATTCTAAACTCAGTTTTGCTCCAGAGCCCAGATTTTTAAGCTGAGTGTCTGTCTCCATGCTAGAGACTGCACTACTATCTCTGCTAACCTTGCTGATAATAGAAGGCTCTTCTAGCAGATGAAGAAGCCAAGACTCAGAAGAAAGTACAGTTCTTGCAAGATTTCCTGCTATTAAGTAGCTGAGCTAGAATTTGAATTCAAGTTCCAAATCCTGAGCTCTTCCTACCGTCCCGTGTTCCATCCATTTACAACTCAGCCATGGCTTGGGGTTCTGGATGGAGCATCAAACATGGAAGAGGCTGAGGCCCAAAGAAACAGTTCAGCTTGTTTGTCTCAAGCTGAACAGGCTCATAAAGATGATACATTGATCTGCAAATGGTGTAAGTCATCTTTGTTTTCTAGAAGAACTTCAATTTTAGGATGATGTTAGCTGTTATACTGATGAATGGCTCTTGTCACCTCTAGTTCATTCATCAAATTTTTCAAGACAAGGTTGAGCACATGAAATAAAACATACACAAGGGGTAGAAAACCTCTTGGGGAATCTTTCCAAGGCATCCACCCATAATCCGCAGCTCTTCTGCTTTCTGGAACATTGACTTTGCCTTTAATTCACCAGCTTCCCAAATAGCTTTGCAAGACTGAATTTTTAGAGGGGTATTACATGGCTTTGCGTGGCATGATGTGTTATTATATGTCATTGTACTGATAGAAAATGTGGCAAAATATACAGTATGTTAAGTTCTTTAATCATAAAATCTATTAACAAAATACACTTTGCAAACACTGTATTAGTTTTCAATAACTGTCAAAATAACTTCCATGTGAACTGAGAATGATTTTGAGGCAGCCTCAGAATCCATTTATGAACGGTGAAAACTATTTACCATTTTAATGGCTCTGACCATGCTGTTCAGGACTAAAGAAGGAGCTCTGTGGGTAGAGCCTTGCAGTCCTACACATTTACGGAAAACTAGGAAAGTATCTGAAAATTGAACACATTTGTAAAGGAGTGACCTCAGAAATCATGTCTAGGGAATGAGGTGTACTTCTCTCTCCTGAGAAGGTTTGCTTCATCAGCTCCTCTTTCTTTCGATCAAATCAGAGGTATTGAAATTCAAGTGCCAGAAGCCACTTCTAGTAAATGTAAGTACACTTCTTTCAAAGTAGCTGCTGATGGAATCTGAAGTGGTTCGGTGGTGAGTAATATGCCTTAGCACAGGTGCAAACAGCAGAGGCTCAAGTGAATGCTACATGTCTTTGAGCTTTGAATTTTACTCTTACATTAGTAAGGGTGAGGGGGTCCCTTTTGGCCACACAAAATGGGCTAGTGTGATCGTACATCTCTAGCCATCTAATTTCAAGCCCTGCTCGATTTTGCTTCTTAGCCTGGCTTCTCAGGATGTTTGGTTGGTGACCTCTTTAGATTTGTGGAGTGTAGGCAAATGCAGTGATGCTTTGCTTAAAAGATGAAAGCATTTGGATCACACCACAGTGAGAAATGAATCAGGGTGGGCAGAATGTGTCCATCTTGGAATGTTGATGTTTCGTGAAGCTGAATCCACGTTGAGTAATAGGGACCATGCCTCATTCTATCACAGAACGTATCATTAATAAAAGAATATGACCATTCCCCAACTCCTCACCCCTACCTCTACTTAGCAGTATATGTCAAAGGTCATGCATCCATGAGGAGACACAAGATGGCAAACAGCAAGCAAGGAGAGATGGTGCGAACATCGGGGATGTGACTTCAGAAATGGAAGGACAAACCAAGGGGAAAGGAGAGAGCTTAAGGATGAAGTAGATAAAAAGAGCAGATACCTACCCAGACCTGTGCTATCTAGCTACCAGCCTGCGGACTTATGTTATCACCACTGGGCTCCCCACTGGGCTCCCCAAATGGATCACTGTTGGATGAGGCCTGTGATCCATCAGGCTAGAACACAAGAAGATAACACTTTTTTTTTTTTTTTGGTCTTTTCAACAATGGAAAGCAAAAGACAGCTGGGCTTATTTTCATGCATACATATAATCAGTTATTTTAAAGGAGGCAGGGACTGCAGTTGGAGGGCACCACACCCACCAATGTGGGAACATGCGGGAACGACTTCATGAAAGGACATTGTTCAGCTGCTCATTCGAACATCAAAGAAAGCCCCCCTAGGAGCCCCACTTAGAACTTGAGACTCTGAGCCAGCATTCTTTCCTATGCGGGTTTCCTCGCCCGATGTCCATTTCCCAGATACAGCGGTTTTAATTTTAAGGAAAAGCAAACCCAGAAAAAACAGACTGGTCACTTACAGCTTCTTGCTCTTCACTTTTGCTGGGACTTTCAAAGCCCTCTTCGAAGATGTCATCTGTGGTGGGATCGCTGGCGTGGGAGGCAGATGATTTGGATGGAGAGCTCTGTCGAGGGGCTGGGGTTGGAGCTACACAGAAAGGAGGCACAAAGAGGGAACAGAGTTAAGTGGCTGCAACCACGTACCTCGCCCTCCAAGACCTCGGGGATCTGGTTATAATCGAGTTAAGTCCAGCACTCTGCTTTCTACCCTGAACACCTCATCTGTACATATTTATCTCGTCCTATCCCACACTTGACAGGTAAGAGTGGGTGCCCATTGATGGGGCAGGCGGTGGTTCTCCAAGATTGGCCCTTGGATCAGCAGCATGAGCACATCCAGGAACTTGTCACAGATGCCGTCTTGGACCCCAGACCTACAGGCTCAGAAACTCTGTGTTTCTACACGCTGAAGGTGAGAATCACTGAACTGATTTTTCTTTCTTCTCTCTCTCTTAACATCGTACATGTACTTCAGTAAGAATAAATAGATCAGAGGACAGCAATATGCATTTATTGAGAGCCTTCTGCATGTTGGATACTGTCAGAAACTTTATGGATGGTATCTCTAACCCACATAAAGCCTCTTTTAGGCAGGGGTGATCCCAGTTTTACGGCTAAGGGAAGCGAGGTCGCTAAATTGCTCAAGGCCCCGTAGATGGTGGCTGGTGGAAGCAGGCTTTGTATCCTTACACATGGTGGGTGTGTGTAGAACACGTGTTGAATGAAGAGTGCCTCTGTGATGTGGGAAAATGGGAGGTCGCTGCTGGCAACTTTATTCCTCACTCCATAAGGACATGCATTTCTGTTCTGGCTTTCCCACACGTTCTTCCTCCCATTTGTTCCAAAGGTTAGAACAAATATGCCATTGGAAGCTATTCTTCTTTAAATAATTTCTAATTTGGCATTAAAACGCCAGTCACTGGCTCAGCCCCAAGTGAGGAGGTGGCGTGGCTTGATTTAATAGCTAAATTTCAAATGCCACTGATAAGCAACCCCCTCCCCCCATCACTGCCCAGAATTTCCAAAATCTGGCTGCTTATCAGACAGCAAATGATTATCAAACTTGGTGAGTACCTTTTGCCTTGATGGATTTATACTTAGAAGAACGATGCTATTTGCTGTGTGCCCAGCGAGCTGGGCACGGTGCTCGGCATTTTGTACTCACTGCGTTCTCTAATGCAAATATGGCAAAGCAGTGTTGGACCTATTGTTCTTTCCTGATGAAGAAACTGCCCTCTGAGAGGTGAAGGGGTTTTCTCAGGGTCAAGAGAGCCACGGAACAGGAGTGCTGGGATTTAACGCAGCTCTGTCTACACTGTCCGTCCAGCTCTGAGCTTTTGGTCCAACTGATCCTCTACTCAAAACATTCTGAAGGTGATGCTTATGGATAAAAGGATATAAAGACTGGTTTCACTCATTTTCTTTACAATAAAACCTTATTTTTTTAATTGAAAATCAAGTCTGTTTTGTTTTATGAGATGATTACGGAACTGACTTGCTCTAGTGGGTTTAACTGAGATAGGACACCCCGATGCTCGACAGCTGTTGAATAAATGTTAGTGTAACTGGATTCCAAATTGGGTTTGAAGTGGCTTATTGCTTATGGAAGGCTGAGAACCCAGCCTGAGCTGCCAGTTGGAGAGGTGTACTGGTCCTACTTATCAGATGAAATCAATCGGAAGCCTAATTAGGAGTTCATTTATGCAAGTGTCTTAGCCTTTAGAAGGTTCTTCTAGAATACCTGTATAATGTCAAAGAGTGGTTCTAAATTTGGGGCAACTGAAATCCTGGGGGGGCATTTGGCAAAATCTCGGGTCATTTTTGACTGTCAGGACTAGGGGATAGGATGTGTGCTTCTGGCATCTAGTGGGTGGAGGCAGGGAGGCTGCTCAACATCCTCCAAGCACAGGGCACGCCCCACAACAAAGCATTACCTGACCCCAAATATCAGTAAAGTCCACGTTGCAAAACCTTGCTCTGAAACACAACAGTGACTGAGTGGCCTTTGTTCTGTTCGTTTCAATCTCTACGACTTCTCCCAAATGTCTCCCATGCGCTAGACGCCATGCTAGCGCTATGAGAAGTGTACGAATGACTAGGGCACATTTCCTGCCCTCAAAGAACTGAAACTTCCCTTTTATTTGTAGCTGGCACACAAGCCCATTGCAAGAGAGACACTTGCTTTCAAAAGATGCTTGCTTATTTATGCGTGGCTCTCATTCTCTCAGCATTTTATTTTTTATTCATTATTCTTCACTGAAACCCTGTGACTTAGAGCTAATAGAGATGCCTCCACTAGAGAGATCACAATGGCCTGAGTGGGAGTAGGTTGTTTATACACATAGAAGGCATTCCTTTTCAGAACTGCCTTCCGAACCTGGCTGAAATGACACTACCTAACTGTGTTAACATTAGATTTTTTGACAATTCTCACTATTGGCCAAGCAGTGATCCCTACCATCTGCGACAATAATGAAAACGCCAAACTCATTGTTCCCTGAGACTTTTCTCTCTCTTATCAACTGTCAAGGCACAAGCTGAATTACCGGACACCTTTCTGAGTATATGCGTGCTCAAGTGTATCTGGATTCTGGTTGGCTGCGTGGTTATGGCTTTCTGGATGTTTGCAGCAGAAAAGTGAGCTGGGACAGAATCACTGAATGCCTCAACTAAAAGGAGGCACACTGCTCATCCAAGCCACTCAGGCCTTTTACCCATGACACAGCTGAGGTTAAGAAATGTCACACGTTTGCCCAAAGACAATTCCGGTCCAGGGATTCTGCTCAGAACCACTCCCTATGCAATCATAATGATGACAACAATACTTTAAACTTGGTGAGGTATACAGTGTTTCAGTACATGTACCACTGAATCCTTTTAATATCCCTTAGCTTAAGATAGATGAGGAAATTGTGGCTCACGGAAATGACTTGCCCATAGGCACAAAACTAGGAAGTGATAAATCTGCTCTCTGGGTTCCCAGTCTAGAGCTTTCTGCTTCACTACCATTTTTTCTCTTTGACTACCCAAAGCCTTGAGCCAAAATCTGGCTTCGACTATACCAGTTGGATGAGACTTTATGGCTGCTCCTTTTCTCCCCTAAGTTTTTGTCTTCATCTTAGTTTTCTACTCCAATTTATTTTGTCCTTGTTCCCCAGACTTCTAAAGTTCATATTCACCATTCATTTCCATTTCAATAAGCCGTACAATTCAATAATCTGTGTGTCATAAAGGAGGGATACTGAATGAATGGGTAGATGAGCAAATCAACAAAAACATAAGCAGCAGAGTGACTGGTAGAAAAATAACAGGTTTGTATTTGATTCTACTACTCTCCTTGTCCTTGAACGTCACTTTCATTATTGGCCCAACAGGTCTAACAAAACCTGTAATAAGCATTGTTATGAGTATAAAGGTAATAAAAACAATGTGTATGAAGTAGGTACACATAATTGGTAACTAGTAGTAGTAGTAGTAGTAGTAGTAGTAACATAAAGAGGCCTGTTGAATGTGAACTGAGATGAGTTCTCCGACTCCAGAAACAAAGCGTCACTCTCAGTGGATTTACGTCTCCAAAGAAGGGCACTCACGTGAGTTGGTTGATGGCGTGGTAGAAGTCACAGGGGTCAAATTCAACTGCGAGATGTCAAAGTCATCACAGTCGTCTGTGTCCTGTGCCACCCCGACTTTGTTGAAGTAACTGGAGAAGGCCTCTGAGGTACAGGTGAGGGAGGGTTGGTCGGGTTTGCGGGAGGGCACGGGCGGAGGCTGGGCCATCTGGAAATCCTTAAACATTTCTTTCCCCATTTTCTGTCTGGGCGTCTCGGTCTGTGGACTTGCCCTGGTGGAGTCACCCGTGGTTGGGATGGTTGCAAGGGGGGTGAGGGGACCTTGGAACATGGCGGCTGGCAAAGGCATAACAGTTTGTGTGGGCATGAAGGCGGCTGGCGGGAACTGCCCGGCCACAGCTGGCCAGGGCTGCTGAGTGGCAGGGAAGAGACCCGGCTGGCCCCAGGCGATGGGCTGAGTCCCCGGCATCACCTGAGCGACTGGTGGCTGAGCACCCATGGCGATCTGCTGTTGGACGAGGGGCTGCTGGCCCCAGAACGATGGGAGGACGGCGCCCATTGCAACATAACCTGGAAGGGTGAAAAAGAAGAGTCAGGCACCTGGGAAAGAAGAATTCATGGATTCAAGGGATCGGCAGAAAGATACCATATCAGGCTCTGTGCTACAGACCGGGGGCAAGGATGAATAAGACAAAAGTCCCTGCTCTCTTGGAGCATTCCTTCTAGAGCAATGGGCAGGGGAAACCTCTCGAAGGAGGTGATTCGTAAGGGGAAACTAGAATGCAGTGAGCGAGCAAGCCGGCAGAAATCTGGGAGATAGTGGTGATACTGCTATAATCATTCAAGGTTTCTGACCCCACACAGGCTCAGGGACTGGTGTGTCTCAGTGGAAAAGGCAGAGGACTAGAAATCGGGCCCACGTGGGTTTGAGTCCTGCCTCCCCTCACCAGACCGACCACTTAAGCTCTCTAAAAGTCAGGCTCTTTGTTGGAAAGCCGGTTATAAGATCATCCTTTTCAGCATCGAAGCCAGGTGCCAAGGGAAGAAGAATCGGGAGTGTGGGGGTTTTGAGGCCTAGGTTAACATTCGGACTGCCCCTTCTCATCTCTGGAATTGATGGAGAGCTCCACAAGCCCTCCCGTGCTCTATCTCCTTATCTGTAAAATGGGCACAGAATACTGTCTGCCTCACGGGCTTGGTTTAAAGACAAACAGAGAGGACGTATTTGAGGTAGAGTACTGCACCTGACACAGAGTGAGCATTCAGTAAATGTTAGCACTTAGCGGGATTTGAATCAGATAGAGCCCAGAAAGTACGTAATACCTTGCTTGGTCCACAGCAGCCAGGCAATAAATGGTAGCTCCAGGGATTATCATACCTTATTAACATATAACTGTGATGACGCCAATTTTAGGCGACTGTCTACTTACTCAGGAACCCCTCGTACAGTGGCATAGGTTGGGTACCGCACAACTCCAGGGGGCCTACTGACATACATTACCATGTTAATTGTTGGCTGTGCCACCTCATTTCAGGTGAGATATAATCATTTTAAGAAGAGCACAAGTAACACTTTTCACAGGAGCAAGAGTAACACAGATAACTTTTTCCACTTATTAAATGCCTACAACGTTCTAAGTTCAGTATTTGGTGCTTTACATCCTCACAAAATCCCTGCAGAGTAGGTATTACCATCCCTACTCCAAGGGTAAGGATATTGGTGCTCAGAGAAGGAAAGGCTGTGCTTGGGGTCACGCAGTCAGCATGAAGGGGGATCAGGATCTGAACCGAGGTCACCCATCCCTAGAGCTAGTGTTCTTCCCTCTGCATCACACTGCCCCGCCCAGACGGCCAAGACCAATTTCTGACCTTTGCAAAGTGCACCCGGTCTGGTCGCCTGCCTGGGGTTGCAGCAAACTGCAGGCGGGCCCAGAGAAACTCCCAGGTCCTTCCAGTGAGCCCTGCCCTTCCCTGAGGGCCCCGTAGCCACGTGCCTGTGCAGTTGAGCCCGGGAGACAGATGCCCAGGCCGGGCAGAGGAGGGAGAAGCTGGGTTGGCCTGACCCCTCAAAACCAGCCTTTTCATGGCTGTCAGAAGGAGTCTGCAGGTGTGCAGCAGGGAGGCTAGGGAAAGAAGAGTGGGTACAGGGTATCCTAGCAACTTCCAAAGGGAAGGCGGGCAGGCACTGCGGCATTGATAGTGTGCATCCTGGGTGCTGTCAGGGACTCTGGGAAGCCCAGAGAAACCGTGTGCGGTTTCACCCACTGCCTCACTCATGCTCCAGCCTCAGATCCCCTGCCCTTCAACTGATAGCTAATGAATGGGGATGACATTCCACGTCCGGCCATTTCCTTGAGACGTGAGAGGAGGTTCCAGACAGGGCACACGGGCTTCTAGCTGATGAATCCAGCAGGATGCTGGATATGCTCTTATGGGGCGTCGACAAGCCAAACAGACCATATCCTTATGCGATCACTTAGCCCTAGGGCCCTGAAGTAAGAGGGGTGACGAGGTATTGGTGTGGACATTTCAGACCGGAGAGCTGCTTGCATTGCCTCTCACCTCACCTGTCACATCATAAGGCAGTGACTTGAGCCCACCAACAGACTAAGAATTCCGCAACTATTTTTCTCTTTTTCTGATTAGCTTTGATGGGGCCCTATGGTTCTCAATGGGAGTGCTATCGCCCCCTAGGGGGGGATGATGAAGACATTTGTGGGTGTATTTTGGCCGTCAGGATAACTTGCTAGAGGGAGACACTACCTGCACTTAAGAGGCGGAGAGCTTGGGTACCTGATATATTATAATGGGTGAGACCAACGTGTACAACAAAGAAGTCCCCCATGTTCTGTCTACGATTATTTGAGTATGGGCTGGACTTTGAATTACCTAGAAATTCAAAGTTTCTTTGCATAGTATTAGTGTACTTAGTTTTTCAGGATTGTAACAACTGTGTACATTGAGGGCCGGCTGTATTTCGTTTTGTTTGGAACACGGCCAAGATTTGCGCACCATTTGGGGAAGTTGTGGTTCCCGACAGAAACACTTCCCATGGGGTTCGAGCCGAAACAGCGTTCGGGGATCCGTCTATACCTGCAGTGACTCTGTTGATAGGTCTACAGACCTGACCACTTAGTAGGACCTCTAGTGTAGATGTACCTGGGTATTTTCCTTATTGAAATAGATAGCTCTTTATTATAAATGAGCTTTTAAAAATTTCCTCCTTATATTCGAATGATGGCGTTATATTGATTTTTAAAAAATGTGTGCTAAGTTATATTATCTGTGAATTTCAAGAATTTAAAGGAGACATTACAAATATCTGTCCTAAAAAGGGGGCACTGGGTCTGACGTGGTAGAGACACGGATCTTTCAATGCCCATTTTGGTGAAGGGATGGAAGGTTTCAGCCTCCAGCCAGGCTATCTTTCATTTTGCTTCCACTGGAGGACTGCTCTAAAATGCAAATATAGTGCCTCATTGTCTGGAGTAAAAGGTTCAGATGCCTTAGCTTGGCTTAGGAGTCTTTAGGGATCAAGCCCCTTCCCAGCTCTTCATCCCATTTTCACTGGCACCTTCCCCTGCAGCAGCTGCAAACACCCCCCCTCCGCCGCCCCCCGCCCCCCGCTCTCTCCATCTCTGCCGGTGCTTCGGCCTGGGAAGCCACCCCTACCTCACGTGGCTACTCCTTATGGACTCTCTGAGAATCCGCTCAGCATCAGCACTGCTGGGTGCCTTTCCTGCCCTCTGGACTCCATTGGTTCTCCTTCTCTGGGCTTCTGCAGACCCCAGTGTTCATCTCTCTGATGGCACTTGTCTCACTGTGTTGTAACTACCCATTCTGTCTTCCCTCCTTAGACAAGAAACCACCTGCTAGTAGAAACCCTCTATCTTCTCTTTCCCTGTCCTCTGTGTCTAGCACCGTTTGGGGCACATCTCAGCTGTTCCATAAATGCCTGAGACTGGGGACAGTCTCTCTGTAAATGGGAATGAGTCATAGCGGAGTCAATGCCTTCGCTGCATTTTGCCAAGTGTACAATTCAACTCCAAGATTGGTGAGTGCTGGGATGTCTAATGATTCTACTGTTGGTGGCAGGTTTTTCTCCCCCCCCCGCTTTTTTTCCCCACAAGGAACCAACAGATGGGCTGTGCACACTTTTCTGGAGAGAGCTATTAGCATGTCTCCTTGGCTTCATGCCGTCTGCTTCAGACCCAAGTATAATATTCAAAAGAAAAAAAAAACAGCACAGCGTAATTGGGTATCATGTTCGGGGACTCGCAGGTCTCATTCACTTTTCCTGGGGGGGGGGGGTCTCTGCAGCCTGGGCTCTCCCCAGACCTGTGAGCTCAGGTTGTCTGGCCACATGACATCAGGCATGCCTGATGGGACCCCTTGGTGGCAGGCTGCGGCAGCCGTGGACAGGGAAGCCACTTGGTGGCTGCCACTGCAGCCACTTAGCAGCTTAGTAACATTTACTCATTAACGTTCAGCAGTGGAGGGAGAAGGTGCCACGGAGCATCTGTTTATGCCATGGAGTTCAGATCAATCATAAATCTCCTTGCCGTGAAGTGAGGGGAACACCTGCATTACAGCCTTGCAGTTAGATTTTTAAGGATGGCTGAAAATTGCAGTTTATAACCAGATGCTTGCACCTGGGGATACCTCATTATCTGAATTAAAAGAGCAGACTAAAATGTGAGAAAAACAAGCAAAATCTAAGGGACTCCCCCAACATGTATGCAGAACTTGGATGGTAACGCTTATTTACGTGATCTCATTCATTCATTCATTCATTCAAAAAGAGCCCTATTGGGTATGAAGCACTGTTTCAATCTCTGGAGATGTAGTGAAGAATAAAACATTAAAAAAAAAAAAAATCCTTGTCCTCGTGGAGCTGACATTTTTGACACTGATCCTTGCAACAAGCCTCTGTGTAGTTGGTATCAGTCTCTTTACTCTGTGTCTGAGCTACTGCAGCGGGCTGAGGGGAAGGCTCAAGGCAGGTACCACAGGGCCCGGGGAGCAGAGCCGGCGCTCCTAACGGACAAGCTACAAACATCTGTTGACCACTTACTTATAGAAACACCACCAGGCACTGTTCTAAATGTTCCACTACGTGTATTAACTCATGCAATCATCAGACCGGTTCTGTACGGTGGAATTACCATCCCCATTTTACAGATAAGCTCCCTGAGGCTCGGAAGAGATTTAGCTGAGTATTACATAGCTGGCTAGTGGCGGGGTCTGTATTTATACACAGTACATTCTCTAAGCCCCCAGGCCAGCTCTGCCATGCACAGTTAAGAGACCAAAGATCTAAACTTTATTACATGGATGCTTTTCTAAATATTCCAAAAAGGCTAGAGGAAAAAATATAGGTAGGACATTTTCTTCTACTTTACAAATAGGAGTCATAATAACAATAACAGTAGCAACAACAGCTATTTGCTGATTGAAGCCTCTATGGGGTCCCAGCAAATTTCAAGGTGCTTCACTTTGTTTTCTCATTTAATTCTCACGATATTCTTGCAAGGGAAGTATTACTTTCAATTCATTTATAAAGATTTAGAAACTCTGGCTCTGGCAGGTTAAGTAATTTGCTCAGGAGTTTAAAACGTACATAAATAGATGAGCCCAGATTCAAACCCAGCCCACCGGATGCAAAATCCCCCAGCGGCCCATCCGTTGTACTGTAAACCGTGGTTCGTGCCCCTGGCTCCCTGCCACCGGCTGGACAATTGGGGACAGGCAGATAGAGCCTAAGTGTCTGTAGAGACTTTCAGGACCGGTTCAAGGAGGAAAAGGCTGACAGTTGACTACCCACTGAAGTCTACTTTTGTTCCTCAGTCTAACTGACGTAGAAGCAGGCGCTTCAAGAAGCAAAAATGTGCTCATTGAAATTAATTTCACACTTCCATTCTAAACATTGAAGTTGTGGAGTTAATCTATTGGTAATCTATCGATATATATATATATATATTTTTTTTTCTTTTTTCTTTTTTAGCAGCTCAAGAAAACGAATCCGGACATGAAGTGGCTTGTCCGTAGTTTGCAACATGGCTGGTCAAGGAGCAAGGCTGAAACCAGGTCTTCAAAGCCCTGATGTCACACAGGCTCAGGAGCAGTTGTGTGCATGGCACAGGCAGGTCCTTGAGGGCTTTTATTCACATGTCAGGACCGTGAGGTGTGTGACTGCGTCACCCTCATTTACCCCTTGCCTAGAGTACTCTTTACCCGGACATGTTCTTGGCTCTCTCTCACCTCTTCCGGTCTAGGCTGCTCACACCTCACCTTTGTATGAGCCCTTCCCGACCACAACTTCCATTTACACTTGTCCTCCACCTGCTCCAAAGCCCCTACACTCTGCTCTACATTTTTCCTGGCCATACCACTTACTATTTGTGGATTTATTATGTAAGTTACTAATTTTTATGTTGTTGCCTTGTCTCTCCAATAAAAAGGAAGCTCTCCGAGGGCAGGACCTGTACCTGTTGTATTCACGGATACACCCCAGGCTCCTAGAACAGGGCCTGCCTCATGTGGGTACTCAGTGAATAGTTGTGGAATGAGCACGTCTGCAAGTTGGTAAGTTTGGGGCCTCGAGTTCCCATTACCTGTCCCAGCACATCTTCCTGGGTCAGATAATGAGGGCAAAGTATGTGTAGTCTCAACACAGGAAGGTGATACATTTCTGATGGAAAACTGTTATTCTTTAAAAGGACGTATTCTATCACTCTATTCCCAAGGAAATTTTAATATCCACTGTAGGTAAGGGAAACTAGTTATCACCACTGTCCCATTTTAGGGATGGATAAACAGATTTGACTGGGAAGCTTGGCCAATGAAACATCTGGGTTACTTGCAGAGTCTAAAGTGTTAGGTTAGAACCATTGGCTACCAACCTTTTTTGCTTCTGAAAGTTTATAATGATCTCTGGGCTCATGGAGAGTAATTTTAACCATTTCAGAACAGAGTACGGATTTTTACTTCACTTTGAATAACAGCACGGTTTATTTAGTGGCAAGAATTTTCTTCTAACACTATGTAATGAAAATTATTTATAGAAAAATGCAAGAAGATGTGTATTTGAAAATATTCAGGCTCAGGGCACCTAGGTGGCTCAGTCGATTAAGTGTCAGGGACTCTCGATTTCAGCTCAGGTCATGATCTTGGTGTTGTGAGATTGAGCCCCACGTCATCAGACTCCATGCTCAGCAGGTAGTGTGCTTGAGGATTCTCTCCCTCTCCCTCTGCCCCCTCTCCCCCGCTTGCATGTGCACACTCTCTCTCTCTGAAATGAATTAATACATAAAAATTAAAAAAAAGAAAATATTCAGGCTCTATTGGCTGTATATAAGAACAAAATAGTAGGATGAAACCACAGATTTCAAATATGTAGCTAAAGAAAGAAAACAGTCTTTAAGGCTCTCATGTATATAAAGAGCGGAATACCACCTCTGGTCACATTCCAACTAGAGTGGCCTGGCTACATGGAGTGCCTGATGCCATCAAAACAAGTTAAGATATCTGAGATCCCACCAATTTGTCTTCACCTGAAATACTGTCACTATATATATATATATATATATATATATATACACATATATATATATGTATATAGAATAATATACTCTATATATCCCCTCTCTGGGCCTCAGTTTGCTCATCTATAAATATATATATTTACCCTGTTGTAAAAGTAGTATATATATGTATCTTAAAGGATGCTTAGAAAATAAGAACAAATACCTTCCAAACCACTAAGAGCCCCAACACCTTCCCAATTCACTGTTAGCAATTTGCTCTGCCCCCTCAGCATCCCACTTTGCATGGAGAACCTCCCCATTCTTGAGTCTCTACCGAAGGAGCAGACACGTCCTATCAATCAGATCTCCAGAGGTCTGTGGGGGCTCCTATCCCCCACTTGCCATCCTCCCCCCCTCTGGCTGAGATGGACAGGAGGAAATGAATTTGTGCTGATTTGCATGGCTGGGTGTGCATGGGGCTCCCAGAAGCTGTGTACTGAGTAACCTAGCATCCTGACCTTTCCAGGTGAAGGACAACACTGAAATCCAGCCTACAGCATACCACGGGCTTATAAACACTCCCCGCCTCCCAATGGTGGCCTCTTAATGTTATCTGAAGAGTCATAAGGAGAAGCTGCTGGCTCCACAGGTGTTCTGGCATAATTTGACAGCTGGTTCAAGTCAACCCTTTCTCTTCCTTGACAGGTGGAGGCCAAAGGAAGGAAGTAGGTGGAAGACAGCTTACCTGAGGGTACAGCAGCAGTGCCGAAAGGTACAGAACTAAACATGTCTGCACTCGCCGGAAGTGTCTGAGATGAAGACGGGATAAAGGCATCACCTGGAGTTGCAGGAGTCTGTCAGAGAGAGGCAGAGGGCGCGTGAGGCTGCCGGGAGACCTGGCTCAGCAGTCGTCAAGGATGGGAGGTAGCAGGTGCAGGAAGTAAGGGATGGCGGTGGGGGTGGGGGGTTGCTGCAGAAGCCAGCCATGCTCCAAGCCACCGATGTGGTGGGCAGACTATGAGTCAGCTGTAGACACTGACCATAAAACAGGAGAAATGCTACCTACCTACCTTTAGAGCAGCTGTGATAATGAAGTGAGATCATGCATTTAAACCACTTAGTACCAGGCTGAGCACATTAGCAGGTGCTCAGCAAACAGTGGCTAATATCACAACTCTCTGGTTTGAGCCCCTGCCCCTTGGGGGGTGTTTTTCAGGCCAAATTCTTCCACGATATGTGGCTTTCATCCTTTAGAGGTGGTCAATTTAAATTGACACGCATCCACGCCGGACCTACTGTGCAACTAGCTCAGGGCTGGTCACTTAATACATGGCAAATAAACAGCCTGACTAAATACACAAAAAAAGCTTAGCGACTAGAGCAGAGACCCTTGTCTCCTGGTGCCTCCCAGAATTCTGCCTGAATCTTTACGTGCAAAGAAAAATAAATATTTTCAAGAAGATGATAAAAAAACCAAAGCCCGAGGAGCAGGGAACGCTACAGTGCCCGGCTCACACTGGAATCCGAGAGAGGTCTGTTGCAGGAACTGGTGGGTAAGGTGAAGGGTACTGAAATAAATCAGACAGAAGGGATACCAAGGGGTACTCAAAGAAAAGCATGAGTACTCAGGGTTTTAAAGGCCCACACCCATTCACAGCAGCCTTTTGCCTACAGACTATGTCTATTCGATGCCATAATAGCCTTATTTTTCTTTTCCCTTTGGAATAGACTGGGGCAAGCAATTAATCCCGAAACCATGGCAATTAGACAAGGCCAGTTTTAGACCAGCAGCCTGCGGGAGGAATGGCATTGTTCTGGGGATTATTAAATACCCATTGGGACTGCACTTGGGTTCAGGGCCAGAAACACAGCTGGGAGCTGTCGTGTTAAGCACTTTTCAGCACCATCGATGCCGTTCTGTTTCCCCCACGTGACCCTGGGGGAGTCCCATGCCCTTCTCAGGGCCTCAGTTTGCTCATCTGTAAAATGAAGGGGATTGGTTAGAAGATCTCTTCAGGACTTTCTAGCTCCACAGCTGGAGTTTCTAAGTGCCCGAGGTGCAGCTGTTACCCCTGCGACGGAGGCGAGAAGGAGACTGGTCAGAGCTGCCTCAGCTTCCCTGGAGACAGGAGTTGCTGTGTCCACAGTCAGGTCTGCTCGGGACATCAGGTGGCAGAGCAGGGGCAGTAGAGTCTCATGCCATCTGTCCCCAGTGGTGGGCTTATAGCCTTTTCTCTGTGAGGTGCACCTCACCAATGAACCATAGCACCATCCCTTGGTCTGCAGGACCTCGCAGAGCCCAGAGGAGCCGCCCCCTCCCAGCAGCTTCTGCAGGTGCAGCTGTGGCTCACTGCTCTCTGCCCACCTCCCACCTCTAGGGAGTGGGCAGGGGAGGACCTGGAGGGCCCATCTCGGTTCTGTTCTATGCTGTGGCCATAGGGTTGCCTTTGAAGGCAACCCGTTCTTAAAGCACTGGAATTCAATTTTGCTTAGGGTTTAATGCTTTTTTCTTCATTTTTCAGTTAGGGTTCCCTGCAATCTCTGTCCCTCTGCAAGCAGTGACTTCTAACGACAAGCAATGGGATGTATACCCTGGCTGCAACTAGGGCTGGGAATCCAAAGCTTCATGAGAAGCTCAGCGAAGCTGGGAGGTGGGGGGAAGGTAGGGGAGGAGACAAAAAGAAGAGGGAGAGAGGAAGGAAAGAAGGCAGGAGACGGGACAAGGCAGAAGGGGCCGGGGGAGAAGGTGCTTCCTTTCTGGGCTGAACACCTGACTGGGTGGGCCCTGGGTAGGTGCTGACAAATGCCCCGTCGTCTGTAGTCCTATTGAGTTTCTTGCCCATATTCCCAACTAGACCATGTGCTCCTTGCAGGCAGGGAGGGACCTCATCCCGTTTATGTCTTTCTCCGCTGCCCAGCAGAACAGCAAGTACGCAGGGGGGATCCTGTAATTGCTGACGCATGGTCTCACTTCCTTCTCAAAACAGAAGCAGGTATCATAATCCCTTTAAAAAGCAGCAGAGGAAACTGAGGTTTAGAATCACTAGTAATTTGCCCAAATCACACAGCTTGCAAGAGGCAGAGGTGAAACCCACCAGCAGCCCTCTTTGGCCCAAAACCCATCTTCTCGCCACCATGCCGCCGAAAAAGGAAAGGGGAGGGACATAGGGCTGAGCTGCAGTTCATACTTACAGGGGGAGAGGTTATATCAGGAGGGGTGGACATGTCCCCAAAAAGTTCTAATTGGGTCACAGCCTGAAAAGACAAAAAGAGAATGATGTCACCACAAAGGGAAGCCAATGCTGCTGGGCGCTGCCTTCAAACGGTGTGACAGGAGGACCCTTGTTTCTTTGTCATCATTACTATATACACAATAAGCCCAGCTGGTCATTACCATACCTCATGATCCTAAAGACAACACCTGGGAGGCAGCCAGAATCAATTCTTGCTTCTGTGTGTCTGGTAGCATATCGGGGCTTAGTTAAGGAGATTCAGGCTTAGCCACCTCCCATAACCTGTCATCCCACTTTGCACTGACTCGCCATCAAGAGTAGCACCATCTGTCTTCTCCAGGAAAAAAAGGCAAGAAGGCGACACCCTCACTACTTTTCTTTTCTGAGTGCACACACGCATTCAAAGTGCCTTCCATGTGCCAGATACAGTGAGACATGACTTTATGGCCACTTCTTGGCAAATGCTCCCAAGACCATGAACCTGAGAGGTAGGAATCATCATCCCCATTTTTACAGATGAATCAACTGAGTCTCACAGAGGTGACCTTAAGGTCACCCAGGCCAGGACTTGAATGTTCTGTATACAGAGCATGCAGTCAAATGACAGTCTCTGAAAGAGTCAGTCTTTAGGATAAAAAATGTAGTTGGAAGAAAAGAAAACATATCATTTAATACCAGGAAGGGCATCAAAAACAGCCCAAGATATACACTATTAATCACTGCTAGGAACTCCATCACTGCAGTCACTGTATCGTCTATATCCCCATCCATCATACAGGAGTGTCTGAGCAAGGCCAGCCAGAGCGGCACAAGAAACCCTTTAAGATATACTTAGAAATTAATTTGCATACACTTCTAGCTTCAGAGACCGTAGGGAGTCTATGGCTAGGAACAAAATGTATATAATCGTATGCTTTGTGAGAAACCTGCCCACTGAGGAAAAATCTCTCTCGGCTCATCTCTGGATTTTAAGTGACAGCTTGTGATTGGGGGGAACCTAAAAACATCAATCAATTGAAAGGACCGGAAGAGTCTGCCTGCCTGCCCTCCAGGGACCCCTGCACCTGAATTCTAACACTAACCAGGCATGGATAGATCTCTACACTTGATGCCAAAAAAGGATTGTGCTCTCCTTCTGATGAGCGAGTGAGCTCTGGGTGCTGGAAAAGGTCCCACACCTGTTGATAGATTCACTTCCAACCTCTGCAACTCCTTGGAGCTATAGTTCCCTCACCTGGACAGTAGAGATGATAATACCTCCTTTGCAGATTTATTGACAATATTAATAACAGGACTTTCTTTGAAGTTTGTCTAAGCCTGGTTAAAAAGGCACAAAAGGCTCTTTTTGCTGAAAGAAGTTTAGCTTGGTTAATGAACTTTCCTTCTTCCCCTTAAGCTTTCAGACTGAATAATGGGGTTGGGCACACAGGAAGGCCCCACACACGTATTGATTTCCTTCTCAGCTACACGATGCTTTTTCCACACACTTAACACCTGTGAGGTGTTGAGTGCGGTGAACAGAATAATGAGAAATGCCAAGTCCCAGACTGCAGGGAGCTTGCAGTCTGGTGGGATGATCTGTAGAAGTAGGTAATTTCAAGGCAATGTGGCAGGGACGGCAACAGGGGTCTCTGTGGGAGAACAGAGAAAGAGAGTTGGCCAGCTTTTGGCAAAGAAGCTTAAGGAGGGCTTTCTAAAGGGAACAGACCTGATCTGAATTCTGAAGATGAGGAGCAGTTAGCTGGGCAAACAAGAAGAGGAAGGATAATCCAGGCTGGTGCAAGCAAGGACATGAGCAAAAAGGAGAGAGGCCTGGAAGAGTCTGAGCAGGTGGGAAGAAAAGCAATTTATAATGAGCATGAGGGTGGAGGGGTGCAGGGAGGAGACCAGCAAAGTGGACAGGGGTAAGTAAGGTCACAGTGGGACCAGACTTGGCTGGACTCTAGATGCTTGCTTGTCTTGGGGAAAGAGTCTTTACCATGTTTACAATATTTTATGTTATTTGGTGAAACTATGGCAATCCTTATGCTCTCTCGTCCAGATTCATAGAAGTATTACTTCTATCTAATCAATTAACATGAAGCTTCTAAGCTTCCTTGCAATTGGGACTCAATGCTTTTAAAATGGCCTACAACTATTTTCAGTGGTAGGAAAATAATAAAATGAAGTTAATAATTAAGTCACACAATTTACATTTCAAATGTGTTGAACTCATGGCACACTTTTACTAACATAATAAATATAATTTACTGGCTAATTTTCTCCTTAAGCACAACTTTTAAAATAACCTTCATTTTTGAGATATAGACTTTCCTCTTGCCAGATGATTTTCACTCACGGATTAAACGAGAAAAACATGCAGAGGCATAAAACATAGATTGTTATTTCATTCCACTGGATTTGCTGTTTAAATAGAAACTCGAGTTAATTACATTTTATAGAAAAGGGGGATTCTTAGGCCATAAAATTAAAAATAATTCTAATAACCATATGTGATTGAGAATCTGGAATAATATCTATTTTCACACCCCTCTCCCCCCATGTTAGCCCTAGTCCTTTTATTTGTAACCTAACAAACCATGTTCCATCCGATAATATTGTTGTAATTAATCATTTTAATGGCCTCAAGAGAATTAAAAGTAACCATTTGTAAAGTATGAGAATGGTCATTACCATACCTCATGATCCTAAAGACAACACCTGGGAGGCAGCCAGAATCCCATTTGTGGGGATGAGGTACATGCCTCATGAGGCAGCCAGAATCCCAGAATCCCATCCCAAAAAAGTAACCATTTGTAAAACATTTTATAGTTTACAATACATTTTCCAATACGTTATCATCATGTCTGAGGCTCACTGAGCTCACTGGTGGCATAGCTGTCTCTCTAGCTGTCCTCTGCATGTGAGCGGAGACCAAGAGATAACACCACTTACCTATGGTTGGTGAGCTAAAAGAAACTGGGTTTGACCCACAGGCCAAGCAACACCTCATTTATCTATCTATCCCTTCACAAGCCCTAGTTAGACTTCCTAGATGAGGCGAGTGTAGCCACAGTATTCTCTAACCAGAAGCCAGGGTTCCTAAAGGGTCTACCATGATGGACATCCATCTGAAGAACTCAACTGGAAGCTCAGTTCAAGATGCCTATGGGCCTTTCCATTACCAGCACTTCAGACATCTGCTGGTAGCGATGAGGCTGCCGATGGCAGATTCTGCCTCCTTTAGGCCCTGGGCATTTCCCGGGGTGAGCAGAGGGACACTGGAAGCCGCCCCGTCCAGTGAAGGGGAGAAGAATAGCTTCGCTGTTGAGGAGGAAGGTCCTTGATCTCTCCCTCGGGCCAGCCCCTTCACAGCCATTCTTTGATATGAACAAGGGACGGTTTTTGAATAATACTTAGAGCGCTGTGCCACTGAGGTTTCAAGATTAGTTCCCTGGTCCTTCCTTCTACTAGATGGCTGGCGGACTCCGAGGCCCCCTCCTGCAGAGAAATTCTGAAAGTGCCACTGATGAAGGCTGAGATGTCCTTGGCTGACCCCCAAACACATTCTCACAGCCCCACTCCTTATGTTTTGGCATCAGGCACTCCTTCGTGTAGGAAAAGTATGGAGCCCCTACTGTGCATCAGCTGCCGTATTGAGAGCAGGGGATATGAGCCTGTTCCCGTTCCTACTCTCATGGGCTGGCTGTTCGATGGAAAATCAGACCCATCAAAGAATCAGGGCAGCGCAATGGAGAAGAGAGACACAGGGTTACAACAGGAGGGGCCCCCTCAAGGCCTCTGCACATGTTCCTCCTCCTACTGAGAGTATTTATTCCTTCCCCAATTGCCTCTCCCACCCATCCTTCAGGACAGAAATCAGACGACTTTTTTTTCTTTCTGGGAAGTGTTTGCTAACTCAATTTGCACCCCACCCCACTGTCCAGAACAGTTTATATGATACTTGGATCAGTGGTTCTCAACCTTCGATGCACCTGAAGGGAAAGACTGATGCCTGCTTTCCACTCTCCTAGAGATTCTGAATGAGCCAGTTTGAAGTACAGCCTAGTAACTGTGACTTTAAAAGCTCTCCTGGTGATTCGAATTTGTAGCCAAGGTCGAGGACCCCTGTCCTAGAGACTTTCCACACACCCTCTCGTTAAAGGTGATACTATTCACTGGCCTGTGTATCGACCAATCTGAATAAGCACTGGCTGCAAACCAGTATATCTAGTCCAGGGTATACCGACCACATCGCAGCCTTGCCTGGTTTTTCTTCACTTACGTGCACTCAGCGCATCCTGCTTATGTGCCCGAACCCCCAGTGTACTGTTATGTTACACTACACCAGACTAACCTACCTCATCTTACACATGCTGTGCACTGGTTCACTGGGACATCGTGAGCTCAAGGACAGCGTCTTGTGTCCTCCCACTCTACTGAATCTCTAGCATCTATCAAAATGCCCGGGACATGCTGGGAACTTGAAAAATATTTGTTGAATGACACCAGGTCAGCTCCTCTCCAATACACAACCTCAATACACACACACACACACACACACACACACACACACTCATGCACACATACTTTCTGAACTCATCACAGGGCTCACCAATAATCTGCCCGTGAACGTTAGACTAGGCACCCACTAGAGCAGAGCCCCCAGCTGCCGTTCACGCAGGCTGGATGAGGAGAACATGGAATGCGTGAATGTGAATGACCAGAGTGACCGTCATTTACCAAGAGCCTGGAGGCCTTACCTTTGTTGCCTCCAAAATCTCATCAAAGTCCACGGGCAGGTTTCTGTTCTGTAACCACAAGGCATGACTTATGAGCATGAAATGAACAATGGGATAATGACCTGAAAGAGTTAACCAGACACAGACAGGGCCCTCTCATTCTTACCAGGGTGGCCGCAGCAAACCGTTCTTCAAAATCCTCAAACAGGTGACCGTCCTGAAAGTGTAAGTGATGATGAATGAGGATGAAGAGTCTGACACACAAATGGCATGGATTTATGAGTTTAATGACGACGGGATC